TCAGGATGGAAAAGCCCTTTTGGATCATCACCTCCAAGAGTTCACCAGCACCGTGTTCACCACTAGCCACATCCCCCAAGTGCCACATCTACTCATCTTCCAAACACTTCCAGGGATGGAGACTCCACACTGGCCTGGGCAGCCTGTGCCAGTGCCTGACAGTCCTTTCCATGATGGAATTGTTCCCAATATCCAAGGAAACCTCCCCTGGTGTTTCCCTGGAGCAGCCCTGGCACTGCTGACTCTGCCTCACTGCGGCCACAGAGGATCCCAGGAGAACACAAACCAGCCCAGCAGGCAGGAAAATAAAAGTGTTACTGGAAGTGCTGCCTGTGCCTGGTTACCTCTGGGATGAGATTCCTCCAGGTGTTCCCCATGTGGGATGTAGCCAGAGCTCCCTGAGCCTTGGATCTGCTGTCCCTTCTCACCTTCCCTCGTGGCTGTTCATGTCCCACCTGATGGAACACACAGCCCTGTGTGAACCCTGGACCCAAACCCTGAGCCTTGGCTCAGGTGAGGCTGAACACCCCAACCCTGAGCCCAGGTGAGGCTGAACACCCCAAACCTTAGCTCAGGTGAGGGTCACCACCCTGACCCTTGGCTCAGGTGAGGCTGAACACCCCAACCCTGAGCCCACATGAGGGTGAACCCCCCAACCTTGGGCTCAGGTGAGGTGGAACACCCCAAACCTCAGCTCGGGTGAGGCTGAACCCTCCAACCATGGGCTCAGGTGAGGATGAACACCCCACCCTCTGACAGTGGGAAGCCATGCCTTGTGTCCTGTCCCTCCAGGCCCTTGGAAATTGTCTCTCTCCACCATCACAGCTCCTTCAGGTACTGGAAGGGACAATTAGTTCACCTCAAAACTTCTCCAGGCTGGACCTCCCCAGTTCCCTCAGCCTTTCCTCCCAGCAGAGCTGCTCCAGCCCTTGAAATCATTTTGGTGCCTCCTCTGGACTCTCTCCAACCGCTCCACATCCTCCCTGTGCTCTGTTAACACTGGAGACTAAAGAAAACCCCAACTCTACCAATGTCCTGCTGCTGTTGCCTGGGAGAAGAGACCAACCCCCACCTGACTCCAACCTCCTCTCAGGGAGTTGCAGAGGGTGCTGAGGTCTCCCCTGAGCCTCCTCTTCTCCAGGCTGAACACCCCTGAGCGCCCAAAGCAGCTCAGTGAGGATGGTGAGGAAGGTCCTCAGCCCCTCACTCAGCACAGCTCTGGCCCCGCAGACATCGAGCGCCGCGGCCCAGGATGCGACTCGGGGCCTCTCTGCAGCTCCTCCTGCTCCCCCTTCTCCC